AGATCAAAATAAATCAGAAAAAGGTATATCAATTTGTTGAGTTTGTGGCAAAATCTATTAAAATACAAGATAAATGCCTTTAAAAAATTGGAGTTTTCTTATAAATAATATCAAAACCTCATCTTGTCCCGGTATCGCGTCTCATCTCGCCTTGTGAGTCTTAGGTATTGTTACACCCCTATCAAATAATAGTTGCTTGGTAATCAAGGTATTTTTGATAGCTTGGGCTGCACAGTGACGCAGTTGGTAGCACTGTTGTCTTGCAGCAAAAAGGTCCTGAGTTCGATTCCCAGCCCCGGGTCTTTCTGTATGGAGTTTGCATGTTCTCCCTGTGCATGGTGGGTTCTCTCCGGGTACTCCGGCTTCCTCCCACAGTCCAAATGCATGACTATTAGGTTAATTGGTCTCTCTAACTTCTCCTTAGTGAGAGTGTGCGTGTGGTTGTTTGTCCCGTCTGTCTCTGTGTTGCCCTGCGATGGACAGGCGACCCGTCCAGGGTGACCCCGCCTCTCGCCCGTTGACAGCTGGAGATAGGCACCAGTACCCTTCCCGACCCCAACGGGATAAGAGTGTAAAAAAAAATGCCTGGATGATTGTTAGCTTTAAATGTCAAACACTTATCGCTTTAACACATTTCTTGGGTTGAAAATCTTACCCTGAATGCCACGTTAAATCTGTAACCCAGCCCTGTAGGGTCAAATGAACCCAGACCAGGATTTTCTTTTACCATCTACATTATGTAAAGAAATAAAGAATAAAAGAAAAACAATCCCAGTTTATGGGTTAGCTATTAGCGTAAACACCCTTTAAGACCCTGTGTGTGGCACCTGAGCCTCTTAATGAAGGCCACAAAGAGCAGTGGGCTTCTATAGTTGTTCACCAGAGCATAAAGAAGCAGCAACGCAGTAGCATCTGTGTCTGGGTGGGGAAATGCTTGCCACTCTCTCCACACAGCTGGGGTTTACTGAGTTAAAGGACACCTGTGTCTGTCGGAAAGTAATAATAAATGATAACACCCATGTGTTGTCATGGCCGCTCTACAGGAAACAGCCTGAGGGGAGACATGTGAGGGTAAAAAAGATGAAGGCAATGGAAAGAAGGCATGTACCTTTCCTCCATGGAAGGCTGCCACCATTAAACATGACATAATTTGTTCATACACAATATGAAAAGATTTTACTGGGCTGGCCATCTGAGTTTAAAAATGTAATCATGTAAAAACAAATCAAACTCTCTAGTAATTAAATCCGTTCAGAAATGCTGTAAACCTGCATGGAGTCGGCAAGCAGATAACGGGACTTTAGTGTCTTATGGAGGAGGTTGAGTTTTTTTTGTTTCCTGAATTATCTGGGCCGCAGGCAGAAGTGTTTGTTGGCCGACTCTGTGAGGATGGAGAGAGGCGGGAGCAGACGGGGCTCTACGCTGCCAGCCTCACGGCGCGGGGGGTTTTAGTCTGGACAGAGAAATTTTTGGTAGCTGTCTCCACATGATTTACATTTGTGTCTGTGGCTGTGTTGTAGTTTCTGGCTCTGGAAAATTGATCATGTACCCTAAACTGGAATAAGACACATTTGACTTATCTATTTATTTGGAATTGAAATCACATTTTGGTTTGGTGGTGGAGACTGACTTCTTTTGTACAATAAAGTCATATTTATGCTGTTTTCTATCCACATGTGACTAGAGGCAGTAAGACAGGATATTGGATTTGCAATATTTGTGTGTGTTTGCTAAATACAGAAGAGACAGCCATAAACCTTTGCAAAGACTATAAAGGGATAAAGAGGAGCAGGACTCAATGATTTGCATCATCTTCACATATTTCAATAAAAAACCTGGATTGAAATTCAGAAACGGCTGAGCAAATATGAAAGTGTCTTCAGACTGTTTCAAAAACAAGCAGAAAAAAAAGCTTCTTTATAGCTCCAAATCAAACCCCAAAAAACATTAAATAAGAGCAATCTATCCAGCACTGCATTCCACGGTGTTCACAAATAATGTTAAAATGTGGTGCTGAAAGCAAAGAAAGCAATGTTAAGAGGAAGTGAGTTACCGAAGAGTGGACTCAAGGATTCCTTCACAAAGTCGACAAAAGAAGAAAAACATTTTCAAGGAACAAGGCACAGTTTGTGAACTGTTCGATTCCAGTCGAGCAGTTCACAAATCTGAGGTGAAAACTATTTCTTTTTCATTCAAGTTTTCCTTTGGATAATTTCACAGAGCACTATTGATAGTAATACTGTAAATATGATATATAAATATTATATAAATGATCTATCTCTTTCTATTCAAGTCACTTCAAATCTAGGTTATCCACCAGGTTTATCTCCCTGACATAACACACTGACACTGGACATATTACTTTGCTGTGTTAGGATTCATATATAATATATTGTGTCCCCAGGTTGCCCCTGTCCGTGTGCAGAATATCTTTAATCCAGTTCTCTCTCTCTTTCTCCTCGTCTCTCTCTGACCTTAACCTCAAACATTATTCGCACTGTCCCCCTTGTTGTTTTTTTTAGCAGCATGCATCATTGCATTAATGAGGTTAGTCATACAGAACCACACACATGCATGCTCACAAAGAAAAACACCTGAGGTCTCACCACTGATACAGCTTGATATCGCCCATGTGATATTTTATGGGGATGATAAAAGGAGCCTGTCAAGTCTGATAACAAATGGAAAACAAACAGTCTTAAACAGCACCAGCAGGTCTGTGAGGCTTTTCACATTCACACTTTCACACCATGAGTGTGGTGTTAACATTTCACATAGTAAATGCTTACACACATCTCAGTGGATTTAAGATATGCGTCATCTTTTTACTGGCTTCCCTTCCAATTTCATAACAATTTTATGATTTTATTGATTTTGAAACAAGTACCTAAAGAATCTGGCCTGTGCTAAATTTGTCATATCTTGTCACCATCCACACACAGGTCACAGCATTCTGATTAGGCCACTACTTTGGTTTCAATGCTGCTACATCCAGCTAGAAGCAGAATGTTGATCAGGCATTTGCCTCATCAGTTTACCTTAAAAGCAGCTAAGTGGCTAATTAAAAGGAGCTAAGCAGCTATTAATTAAATCATAATTCAGTTCACTCAATTATGAGCTACTTGAGTTTTGCTTCTTGTGCCAGCTGTTCTTTTCATATGAGAGCTTTTTTCATATGGACTTTTTCACCTTCATTCATAATGTCATGTGTGGCAGAGAGCTAACGTCACACATCACCCTGAACAAGCCACTACCACTGCAAAACGTGATGGTGGCATCATCATTGTGTGGGGATCCTTCTGTTCAGTGGGAACACAAAACCTGAACAGAGTTGATGTGAAGATGGATGATAAATAAATGTGGGTCAGTCCCGGTAGAAACGTTGTTAGAGGCTGCAGAAGACTTGAAAATTCCTCTTCACAAATTGTCTGTGATTAATGTAACTGTACTTTAACTATTTTGCAAGGATGAATGGACACTAGGGTTGGGCGATATGGACTTTACGTTTTACCACGATATTTTGTGGTACTATTATGATACTGATAAAAGTGGCCATAACTTTAGGTACGACTGTGACTGCCTCACACAGCAGTCCCATCTCCACAAAGAATTATTGCTCTCAAAAAAGTATTAATATGCTTCTTTAGGACACCAATCACATAACGAAGTGTGATTTGTATCACTTGCACATAGTCACTGCAGTTAATAATATTTTAAAATTTATTGATATTTATTGATGTTCTCAATTACAAAAGAAAACGGAAAAGCTAAAAATCCTAACACTGCGGATAATTTTTATTTTTTTTAAACATTAATTGGAAGTTATCGTGACAACGATAAATCAAAAGTATTTATCATAAGAAATTTATCACAATAAATGATAAATGATATGACAATTGCCCATCCCCCGTGCACTTTAGGTGTTAATTTTCTCACGCTTATGCCAGTGTGCAACATCTATCACAAAATTTCCAAAACAAAAACATACATGCCAAGATAGGAAGCAGAGCAACAGCAGCTAAAGAAAAAAAAAACAGTGCTGCTGTTTCTCCCCAGACAGCTGTAGCTTGTTCTTTCATTGACTTCCTTTACCATTTTATGGAAGTAATTAACCTTTTTAGCACACAGTCAAAGTGCAATGACTTCAGGATCAGGGCACATCTTGCCAAACAAACAAACAAAATAGAACAAAATAAAAAAACTCAGTTGTTGTTTTGGCTTCTTGAGCAAAAAGCTACAGGTATGTACCACAAACTGGGTCTTTAATAATCTCACATTAGGAAGCACTTCCAAAAATTTGGAAGGCAGTGTTTGCATGTGGATGACAGTTGAGTGAAGAATGGTTTACTTTGCAAAAAAGAAAAGAAAAACATTCAATGTGGCTTCTTTAGGGGCTTTTAGGAACTCAACGAATATGAGAAATAAGAAACAGCATATGGACTTCCAGAAAACACACCAGACAAAAAACACAAATGAGGCCAGTAGCAGAACACGAGTCAATAAATGAGAATCTACTCCAGCTTGAGACTGATGCTGCAGACACTGAAACCAGTAGTATCTTTATGTTTTGTTCTTGTTAGAAAGTATAAACAAACTCAATAAGCCAATGCAAAGTCATCTCTCTCCTGCGCCCTACCCTCTAATTCGAAGCACAGAGCGCGCCTAGCTCCACAGTGCTGCATTGACCTGCCGGCAATAGACAGCAATCAGCTCCAATGACACGTGTGCGTTGCATCAACAAATAATTTAAAACACTGACTGATGGAAACCGCACCTCTGGCACAAATCAATAGACGCTTAAACACACAGCAGGTATGAAGCTAATAACGAATAATGCTGCATTTATTGGAAAGCTGAGATGCAGCAGAGTTGCAGATAAAGGGCTGCAGCAAATAACACATCATTATCTTTGAGAGTGTGAGGGAATTAGAGTGTCTGCACAAGTCTGCGTGTGTGTGTGTGTGTGTGTGTGTGTGTGTGAATAGGTGGCTCATACTCACCCATAAGTGGTGTTGCTGGCCCTCTTACTAGCTGCCCTGGAGCGACTCGACTTCAGCTCTCCACTCATGCTCATGTCTGCATGAAAGAGCAACCAATTAACTTTGTGCTGATGGAGTCAAGAGCAACAAAGCTAATAAACAAAGTGGACAAAACAAACAACAGGAGGAATGTTCAGATTAACGAGAAAGAATTCATTCTGCACCAAGTTGGTTTTATCTGCACAGGAAAGGACTTGTTCCATTGTACTTGTGGTCTCAATTCAGCATTGACTGGTTTCTGGTGTCTGTCTTTCTTTCCCTTTTTCTTTCTTTCTTTCTTTCTTTCCTTTTTTCTTTGGCTCCCCATTAGTTGCAGTTCCCTGCATCTACTCTTCCTGGGGTCCAAACATTCAACATAAACAACTGAAGATACATAATATACATAGGTCACATAACAAATAAAAAATTAACTACAAAAATAAACAAATACAAATACAATAGATGCCACAGATCAAAACAGATGAGACAGAAATTTTAAAAAGAGTTAGTTTTGAAACAGCTAATATTTGATTTCTATGATGCTGTGTGATCAGAGTATTCTCAGGCTATATGGAGCCAACAGTGCGGGATTATCTTACACTTAATACTGATGTTCATCAAGGCTCATTGCACACATAGGACTCTAGGCACAAATAGGTTTCCACTAACGACCAGGCAATAATTTTTCGATATAAAATTGAAGGTGCTGCTGTGATTACCTTATTCAAATTGCATTAAGATGACCTTTTTTCCCAAAATTACACATTTTATCACTAGTAGGCACAACATCTGAAATGGCTCTAAATTGAAAATCAACTTAGTTTTCATACATCATTGCAAAGTGATGAAATGTATTATTGCAACACAAAATTGTCTGGATGAACCACACACTAACGTTCCACTATAAATTACTTTTTGGTATTTTTTCTTGATAAAATCAGGGAGGTTATTATGCATAAAAGCTTAAATAAAAAAATAAAATGAACAAATATTTAGTTAATAAAGCTCTGCAAATGTAAAAGGAAAATAAATTCCATAAAGTCTTTTGAGCGCCATTTTTTTATTTTTTGCAAAGGCCCATTTTTGTCACAAGGTTCCTTGGTGGAACTTTTTTCTGGGGTGGATTATGGTCACAAAAATACAGTCATTGTGCCATAATGCAGTAAAGGTTACCGTTAACAAGCTTAAAAAATACAAAGCAAAATGATATTCCGTAAAATATCTACAACTAACGTAGCTCCCTCTAATCATCTCTAATTATATTAGTTTTAAATTAAAAAAAAATGTTAACATAAAATTCATAATCAACGTTATAAAATAGAAGAAGCAATAATTAAAGTGTTGTAAATTTAAGTTTAAAGTTGTGTAATTGATAGTGTTATAGTTTTACTGCGGGTCGTTGTACTGAGTCTCAAATTCTCCTGCTGCTCTATTTTTGTCTATAGTTTGCAAGGTGACTTCAAACATCAGCCACCATACGGCTTTGTTTCCACCATCCTTCCTGCATACATATCTTTACATGTGTTCTCACCAGACAATTAATCATAGATCACCTTGATTACAGTGTCTGCCAACAGTTCAGTGTTTGCACTGTGGTTTTGGGTGTTGATTTGCCCAAAGAGAGGCATAAAAAGGCAGAAAGGCAAAGGGGGGGGGGAAATGAAGAAGGAGTCCGGCTTGACACGGACAGATGGGTGTTGAATGGAGTGTGACTGGGCCAGCTGCACATACACTCACACAGTATGACTGTCAAATGGCTGGGAGCTACAATTAATTAAGTATGGGTCTGAATGTGTGAAAGGAAAATTAGACATGTGTACGCGCCTTTGCCTCCGACAGTTTGTGGCCCAACAGCGACCTGTTGGAGAGCTTCTCTGCAGCCGGCAGTTTCTCTGCTGGTGGGCAGCTTGCCCCCACTGCAGACAGCTAAACTATGTCCTCTTCAAGGACCAGACACTCAAGCACATCCTTCTGGTTAGTTAAAAATACTGTTCAAAGAACAAATATTTGAAATATGGTCAAATACACGAGGACAAAAATCCAAAATATCTGAGCAATCAAAACAAACATAAACCTGCATATTTTAACTCTGTGTATTTCATCCTGCACAGGAAAATCACCTTCCTCCAAAAATCAGGCTTGGAAAACAAAACTTTCTGATGTTTTATGATGCATTTACTTAGAAACGTGAAGACGGTGTGATTGACTGCATGATGAAGCCATTAAACAGGATAAGATACCAGGATGCTGTAGAGAACAGTTGTCTCTCTCAACGGGAGCAAAACCTCAGGTGGTAATCAGCGTGCCTATTCGTAAACATAATCCTGCATGCCATAATTAGCATCACCAGAGCAGACTTCACATATAAGACACACAGACAGACAGACACACATATAAGTTGTTTTTCCCCAGATTTATGTTGGTGACACAGGGATAAATAAGCTAAATGGTCTTTGCCTCTTTTATTGCAAATCAAATAAAGAGACAGCACAAAAGATGTAATTCTGTCAGTGGATGTTATGTGCGTTGCCTCGTTTTTATTAATGAACTTACAGTCTACACTAAATTCTCACTATTTCTAGTGTGTGTTGATTTAAAGAAGAATTAAAAGGAAGATAGCAGGGATCGACTGATGTTTTTACAGAAAACATACCAAGTACATGTTGACAAAGTGGAGAGGAAAAGAGAAAAAAAAATGCACTTTTTTTGGCCCTTTAATTCTGAGGGTAACAGAGTAAACAAAGAAACAGAAAACGTATAAATCATGAAATGTATTGATCGCATAGTTTATGTCTGGAAGATCAATAAAATTGCTTTCTATAATAAAAATGGCACAACCTTAGAGCTCCATCAAAACCTTATAATCCTACACATGGATTTTATGGTTGGATTTAACGTTCCAAAAGAAAATCTTCCTTTTGATGACGATGATAGTTATTCATGGCCCTGATCAAAAGTGTTTGTACTTTTTCACCTTTGCTTCAGTACAACCACAGACTTCAGCATATTTTTTTATACAGTAGTGGATTACTATGAAGTGGAGGGGAAAGGAAAGACATTTGTCAAATAAAAATCTGAAAAAGTACACCGTGCATATGTTTTCAGCCTCTTACCTCTAATACCCTGAAATAAAGTTGAGTTCAACCACTTGCCTTCAAAAGTCCAACTGGTAAACGGCTTGTGCTTACATAGTGTTTTATCAAGTCAGTAGACTCCAAAGCACTTCACACTTTGGAGCACGATTGATTCATTCATGTACACATTGGTGGTGAGCAATATTCCAGCCTCAATTGCTTATTGCTCAACATAAATGTGTTTTTATTAAAAAACACATTCCTTCTGTATTAAAATTGCCACTTTCAATATCCTATTGTCAGTATACTAGTTTGTGGCTTTAACGTGTCAAAATGTAAAAACTCCAGGAAGTAGTGATCACTATGGCAGGTCATAAGAACTTTGTAAAATAGGTCACCAACAACTTCAGGGCAATGCTTTGGTGATAATATTTTAGAAACAGAGATAAAACTGACATAACTATAATCTGATGTTTAAGTTTAGTTGATAAAACTGGATTAAATGACACACAGAGGTCACATTCAATCAGCCATAATGAATTATAAATCCTCTGCTACAGTTTACAGCCTGTCACTTTGCTTTATGGCAGGCCTGGAGCCAGACTGATCCCTCATGCAGGCACAAAGTCAAAGCTGACCTAATCTTACTGGAAACAAAATCTAAACATTTTTGCTGAGATTTTTCTTATTCAAAATCTCAGCAGTTTCTCCAAAAGACAGTCACCAAGCAGCTAAATTCTCCACCACTCTCATAAATTATTATTAAAGCAAGCTGCTAAATGTATGTAGAAATCTGGAACTTGAAGTTGGACATTTTTTGGAGGAGGGATAATGTTCCAGTCAGATAAAAAAGTTTGTAGCTTCACTCACTCATTCCTATTTCTGACATTTTTAAGCAGCAACTAAAATCCCATCTTAAATTCTCTATCAATTTAATTTAGTTCAACTTTGATGTCATTTCAGCAGATATTTCACATGTTTGAGAATATGACAGCTACTCAGATAATTGAAAATAAAATATATTTAAAAAAGCAGTACTTCTGTTTAATCCACATCTCTTCAAAAACCCACATCCAAGTCAATTAGTTGACTTGGTACATTTATTATCAAGTGGTTTTAGTTAATGCCCATTGAGATCCTTTTAACTTTTTGTCTGCCTGTTCTCTAGAGCTGCTGAATCGTGCTTAGGATTGAGGCGAGGATGAAGACACCCCCAGCAGAATCTCAACAAGAAGCGGTGTACCCCTATGGACAGGTCACCAGTCTATTACTGGGCCAACAAACACAAGACAAACAAGCAGGCACACACACCTACACACTAACACCTCAGGATGGCTTGGAGCTGCCAATTAGCCTAACATCGTTGGTTCTGGACAACAGATGTATGCCTGATACCAGGAGAGAACCCCAGCATTCACATGAAGGACATTCAGACTCTTTACAGAAAGGTCCTACTGGCATGTGAAACGCCAACCCATATGACTCACCATCAGAACCACTCTTTGAATCAATCACTTTTTGTCATTTTGGTGTTTTTTCATGTTCTTCTGCATTTTTTCATGGACTTTTAAGATCTGATTCCAAGTATTGCTCATTTTCTTGATCCGAACAACATGTAATTACAAATAGAGAAGTCCAAAGTGTTCTCTGATATGTTTAAATGTAGATGACGATATGTTTAAATGATTGTGCAAAACCCTTATTTTCTTTTTTGCATGTATTTTACTCCACCAATATGTTAATTTAATCGGTTCATCAACATATTGTGTTATTTTGTTGTTGTTGTTGTTGTAACAATACAGTGTGCTGTTTTGGAGATTATAGAAGCAAGACTATAGTTTGTTTATTGTTTGCAACTGCTGCAAAGTCGATCTATTATTCTGTAGTCTGGTTGTCTACATTTAAACATGGTTTCACAGCATTCACGCTTCTTGCTGACTTGAGCTACTCCATATCCTCTTGCAATGCTACGGACCTGATCAGGCTTTGCGTCAAGAGCCAGCTATAAAAAATTAAGTTTCCATACTCATGGCTTTGCAGTGCATCTACAGGCAGTAATGTCAATATGTGGCATTCATCTGAGACAAAAGAAAGATAGAGAAAAGATAAAGAAGGTTTATGTGTCATGTGGAGGAAAAAGCTGTCAGATTTAGAGAAATAGAAACAAAAACATTAATATTGTGCAGGATATCCAGAGGTGTTCAATGTTGAGCTATGCCACCAACGCTCATCTCGAAAAATATCTGATACAGCCAAATATGAATCTCTGTTTCACTGTTAAGTCTGTCAGACTGCACTGAACTTGCCTCAACCTTCTGAACCCCCCCCCAAAAAAAACAGCTTTTGTGAGAAGACTGTGGTGTCTGCATTCGCTTCAAAGTAAGTAGAGCTGCTGCTCCTGCATGCCGGGGGAAAGTAATCTTACTAAGGGTTGATTTTAAGGGTGACATTCACTTTACAGCAGAACAACAGACAAAAATGCAGGTTTGTTCCTTCACTAAAGAGTGGGGGCATGACAAAATTAGGCTGACAGAGGTTTTGATCCCACAAGTCTTCACAGTCTGAGACCAGGATCTGACCTTGGTAGTGTTAGAAATAGTTACACTTCAACTATTTCTCACCCATGATGTAAAGTAAAGGAACATAAAACAACTGTCTCAGTGCAAAATAAGTTAAGCAAGGCTTTATATTTTACTAGCAGATTTCTCCAAAATTAATCTGTCTGTGCGTGTTCTGAACATGCAACAAGAATAATAAAAATAAAAAGAATAATCATAAGGCAGAAATATTTTAAGAAGAAATAACAGGGGTAACAAAAACTACAAGCTAAATGGACTACAGTGCTGAGGGAGACGTAGAGAAAATTTCAAAAAGCACACCGCACCATGCAAACATTCACTAACGCATGCACAGAGATAAAGAGGTCTGACTGCATACTCACATCTTGGACTGAACAGGGTCATATCAGGGAAGCAAAGCAAGGAAAAGCAGAGTGGAGGAACAAGCCAATTTCTTTGCTTCCGTCTCGAAACTCTTCTTATGTTTTAGCTGTTGGTGTGTGTGTGTGTCTGTGCGTGTGTTTGTGATCAAGATACTGTTTGGCTGGCTGCTGTGGTACTACCGAGTCAGTGACAAACCAGACAGAGAAGCTCCAGTGGGTTGTACCAAATGTCATCATGTGGCAGGGGTGGACAGTGGTGCACTGGGCTGCTCCATAAAAGAAACAGGGAAGAGGTTTGGATGAGGGTGCAGCTGGTTCCCTCTCTGCAACAAGACCTCAGTTTTTAGTAATTCCAGTCTGGCGAAGAGGACGCTGCAGCCGCATGGGTGACTATGTGTGTATCTCAATGGAGCGTCTGGTTAAAACTCTAAAAAAGCATCTAACGTTCTTATTTGTTTGTAAATTAGGGATTAACTAAGCACATCTTTATAAATTTAGCAGAAAAAGTGGTTTATTTCTAGTATCATAATGTCAGATAAAAGCCAATGAACTATTCATCAAAACAGACACTAATCAGTTATTTTTTCAAAAATAATTATACAAGATTCCCTTTTTTTTTAACATGCATCACATTGTCTATGCTCATTTTAGGTGTGCTGATCTAGTCCTACTCTTTAGGATGTTTAATCTTTATTTCTCCTGAGGAAGGGCTTTCATGTAGGTTTAATTAGCTTTTTTTAAACAGCCAACCCAGGGCAATGGCTGGCTGCAAGCCAAACCTTAATCTTAGTCAACTCTAAAAAAAGATTATTACCTCTTTTCACACCACACTTAACCCAGAAACAATTACATTATTAAACTGTTAACCCCTCAGTAACCGACTTCTCAGAGAAGTGAGACGCAGCTGAATTTCATGGGAGTCGTCAGATAGCGTGGAAAATGTAAGAAAATAGGGTGATCTGGTTATATGATTAAATAAAGAGCTGCATGCAGCCCAAAATGTTCAGCTTTGGTGTCATCAGAGCATTTTCTTCCACCAAAATTAGAAATAAGTTTGTTTTTATTCTTCATTTCTTATTCTCTAATAGATTTTTAGTTTACATTTACAGTACTTTTGGCAGTATTTAGTTTTTCAGTTACATTTTAAAAATAAATGTAATAGGATAAATAACATACATCAAAGCATTTCTGATTCTGGATCCAATTTTTTTTTGCAAGAAGGAAAACTTGAAAAAACCTAGAAAGATAGTTGTATGTTTTAAAGACGATGTTTGCATTTTAAATATTTTGGCAGAGTTATAACTTAATGCAAACGAAATGCATCACTTTAACCATGTGTCTTTGTTTAGGCCTGTGAAAATGTGGAATTTGAGTTGATAGCTGAATGAAAACCATCAGGAAACACTGGCTAGGCTATATATTGAGTAGCTCCATGTTTGGCTAGTTAGCCGTGCTGCTACGCTACACTCTTCTAAACAACTAAGGCAACAAGTAATTTTCTCACATTAGGATCAGTACCTCTGCTCCAGCCACGTTTTCCTTCGCCTTCTTTTCTTTATTTTTTCTTCATTTGGCAACAGACCAGGGAGTTTGGGACGTTTCAACATGATGACTTTTGACGTTACTTGCGTTACAAAACTCACCCACCCAGAGCACAACTGCCTGAACAGCGCGTGGGGAGAGGTGCAGTGCAGGAACAAACCAACTAGTAGAGAAGGAGGGGGGACTTAAGCAGAGTATTATTATTTGTAGATATAATATTTAATATTTTTTGCTATGCAGATAAATTAGTTAAGATTTTTTTAAATTATTAAATTGTATTATTACGTGTTAACTTAAAAAAATAATAAAAGGTTTTTTCTTTTCTTCTCTGTTTTTATGGCGCTCCCCAAACTCCTGGCGATCTTAGCATTTGCCTATACTGTCTAAGAATGGACACTGTCTGTGCCGTGTCCACTTTTGGTCGTGAAACTACAGCTTGTGGTTTTCATTTCGCTATAGCTTCTTCTTTTAAGTCTTCAGTAAGGTCAGAGTCATATTTATAGTTGTTTCATCCACAGATTCTCTACTTGAGACTTGGATTTCAGTTTCAAATGGTCACATGCCAGTTTAAGCGGACATCCGGGTCTTGGTAAGTTTTTAGCCATGTTATTCTTTCCACTTTCAGGTGAAGAATAAACAACTTCACCTGTTTATTGGTGAATTTTATCCCAAGCTTTGGGATAAAATTATCCCAAATGCTTGGGGATAAGCTTTGGGATAATTTTATAACATGGCTATCCTTGCTTTAACTTTCTTCACAACTCTTTTCTGACCGGCCTGCTGTGGTTCCTGTTTGTTCTCTAATGCTCTCTTACAAACTTTAGATGCCTTTATAGAACAGCTGAATTTAAAAGGAGATTTTATGACAGGTCAGTGGGCTTTATTTATTAACCACGTGACTTCCGCAGATAGTTTGTTAGACTGGGTTTTATTTATAGGCATATTAGACTAAAGGGAGTAAATAAAACAGAGTATCTGATTCAGAGCTATTTAAAACCAGTATAATTACAGACACAATGAAAGATTTGGAAAAAATGGTTTGTTTCTGACAGGGCATTAGAAATCTGAATATAATAAAATGGACAGTCTTTGGACAGTGTAATTCTTCCTGAGCTGACTTTTAAAAATTCACAGCACGCTTTTCAGATTTTTTATTAGTAAAGTAATAGTATTGAAAGTATAAAATTTGATCCACTTCATAATAATTTGCGTCTTCATGTTTGTCTACATACCCAATATATAATTTACCTTTCCTAGACTGTTTTGAATGATCAAACTGCAGTCATCTTAGAGGGGGAGGTTTCTCTGTTTCTTTCATCTTTATCAACGCCTAATTTGCTAGGCATAATGAATGCTCATGTTGCTTTCATTATTTTGTTTTCAGAAGAAAACAAAAAAAAGTGCTTGCTTTTTTTTTTTTTTTTTTACTTAAATAATACCTTAGTGGAGCAGTGGATGAAACGGAAGTATGAACGTTGAGTTTCTTTCTCAGTCCCAGTTTTCTAATCCATCAATGTCAACCCCAAATCTTTCTGAGCAGCATTTAATGACAGATTTAATTCATAGTTTCACTTATTGATTCTGATTGATAACATTCAGCATCTCTATGAGGAAGTAAATAAATCTCACATCAGGTTTACATGTATTTACAGGTACATCAGGTATTTTCAAATTCAATTCAAATTCAAAAATACTTTATTGATCCCAAGGAGAAATTAAATTAAACTTAGGTCTATACGTTATCCAAGATTATTATGCAATTTACTTTATATAAGATGTGGTTGCTCGTTTAAACAACCTAGATGCAAAATGAAATCTATAGCAACTGTTTGTACCTTTGTTTCTTTTATATAAGATCAATATCACAGTAAAGCATCGATGTTTGTGGTCTTTTCCATTTCTGAGGGAAATAAGTGACTCTAGCTTGAAAGTGCACAACTATACTTACCAAGTATTTGCATCTCTTCCTGAATGTTTCTGCTGAGAAGGTGGGTTATTTTAGCCTCTTCCTCTTTGTAAGTTACAGAGCTGCCCGCTGAGGTGTAAAATGATGCTATTACAGCAGTGAGAGAGAGCCAAAACAGTAAAGTTTTGAACACGTATAACTGAATAATGAGCTGAGACTCTCTACAGCGGTCCATAAAGTTAAGGAGGAACTGCAGCTCTGGGTTTAGTTTCTTCACTGGGTCTCTGCTGAAAGCTCCCATCTTTTTGTCTTTCCACTGTGTGCAAATGAGATTAGGTGTTAGGGCAGGTTCATGCCTAATTGCAAGTTCAAGCTTCTCAACCACTAAAATACTTAAGTGTCTCTGAGCAAGACACAGAACCCTGAGAGGCTCCATCACGATAGGTTTGTTGAGGGAATAGGCCATAACTCAATGCACTAAATATGAAATTGCCAGGATGTGTAATAGTATAATAAACTGCATGATGAAATGTTAATTACAGTTCTTGAGTAATAGTAGCAACTATAGAAAAAAATATCAATTGCAGGCTCTTTAAGAGTCGGTGTGGATATCTCTGAAAGATGTTTATAGAGCTATAAAAAGACCAGTTCTTGTTCTCATGTTAATTCATATGAAGCTACAAGCTACAATAGACGTTCTCTCTTTTTGGGTGCTAACATCAAGGCAGGCAGGGAAGACCTATAACGAATAAAAATCAGTGTTTGGTGAAGTATCACTGTGTTCTGACATGATAATCTTCTTTTTAAATGCACCACTGCACTCTCCGCCCCCCACCCCCCACCATGGAGGACAGCAGACAGCTCATACATTATCATTGAGTGCCTTTTCTCTTTCGCTCACCTTCTTTCTCTGTGTCACACCCACCGACGTGCCCCTCTGCCATCCCTCCTGCGCTTTTTTAAGCTTGAGTTTCTCAGAGTGAAAACCTCATTATATTCTTCTGCCGGACCTGCAAACTCAATCGGACAGAAGGTTAGAGAGCCCCTGCTCTCGTCACAGTAATAGGGTTTGTGTTTGTATACGTGTATGAAAAGTTGCAAAGGAACCAAAGAGAGCACTGTGAATGTGACGGTATCCACAATGAGCTCATTTATTTGCTTATTCAATTAACCGACAGTCGCACCGGACTTGTTTTTGGATACAACGTTTGATTGAAAAAAGCTTTTTGCTCTCTTTCTCGTTTCGGCTGGCCAACTGGATTTTATGATTTAGTTCAAATGACCTTTTAGTGTATTGGCTCTATAAAACTATTTATAGTGGTTTCTTAAAATGATTAATGTTTCATCTTATTTTATAAAATGTTGTTGAACCTTTGTTGTTTAAATTAATATCAACATTACTGTGACTGAGGTCACTGTTGATGCTCACAGAAAGACTTAATGCTTTTATGTACAAGTGGGGGTAATCTCATGATCTTTCCATTTTCAGGTAACAGGGAACCTGTAATATTAACATCACACAAATTGCTTTGTATGTTTAAGATTTGAAGTGAACCAAATTCCAAATTGGATCTAAAAAAAAAAACAGAAATTGGCAGCCAGTAAATTCCAATCAGTGCGTCTCTAGATTATTTCTAATCATGAACTCAGAGTCCATCTTGGTTCTGTGGTACTTAAACGTGCCAGTATCTTCTGGTTTGAGCCCAGCTTTGGATGTGTCTGTTTTTCTATCCAGAGTCTTTTAGACGCAG